TTTCAGGACAAGTACATTTGAAATTAAATTTCATAATTATCTTTTAAATGAGATTTCTTTTAACTTCTGAATGAAAATAAATAGGGAATACTAATAAATAACAAATCGGGCACCATAAATTAAAATTAACCACGAAAATAATGCATGCTACGTAACAACCTCGCCATTCCAACACGTGCAGTAATTGTGACGACATTTGCTGCTTCTCTTCGTCTTTCTCTTTCCATGTTGCTCCATTGCTCTTATATAGATCCCTCAAGCTTAGCGCTTTCCTATCTTTCCCCGTCTCCTTCATCACCAATCTGAAATAACAACACAGATCCTCAGCTCCCTTGAATTTTCTCGTAATTTTGAGGGCAAAGCCGAGGTATCCTTTTTCGTTTTTTCACCTGTTTTTTTTTTGTTTTATTAATTCTAAGTAATTCATTTCACAGATTGTGTTGATTTGCTTCCATTTGCCTTTCTGGGTCTTTAATTCTCTACATTATATTCTGAGTTTTTATTTTTTTGGAGGGGGGGTAGGGGGTGGGTGGGGATGTGGTGAAATTATGTGTTGGTTATGTTATGTGCTTGATGTGAAGCTGATTGTTTCTCCAAAGGCAATGCCTTTTTATATGTTTTCAGATAAATTTGTAATTGCAAGTTTTTAATGGTTGTATTGAGGATCCGGAAGAATTACCCCCTTTTTTTCCAATTAAATATTCTGAAGTATATATATCTTGTTCTGTATCTGTGCCCCCAACCCAAAGATTTGCATGTGAATGTATTAAAAAATTTACCCATAAGTTGGAAAGGGTTAACCATTTTAATTCCATTTCGTATGGTCATAAAAGTTTTAGCTTTTATGATTGTATGATAACATGAACCAAAGCATTCAAATTATTGTATTTTATTCTTGAAGTAAGTAAACTGGGCTAGCCAGGTTAACGTTGCCTCTCTTTATATTTCAGCCGTGTGTCAATAAGGTTATCATCATCTTAGACATAAAATGGTTATTCTCTACTACACATTGGTGTGTTTAATATCTGTGTACATGGGAAATTGAATCATAGATCTGAACTCCAACTTTTGGGATTTTCCTTCTCTGGCTTCCATCAGATGATTTCTAAAGTTCTGGTTTTGGATCTTGGCATTTTCTTTATATCAATAAACTAGTCCTAATTCCTAATCCAAAAGTTTATGGTCATTGTCACAGACTTTTTTCCTGCCAATTTGTGGGTCCCTTATTGTTTTTTCTGCTTGTCTCACATGCTTTTGGAAAGATAGAAAACAAGAGAAGATGATATAACAATCCAAACTTACTTAGGAATGATATGGAAAGAATGGAATCACTCCAATGAGTAATGTAATAACCCAAGCTTTCAATCTGAGTTACTCAGTTATTTTAATAGATATTCTTTTGATGCCATTTATCACGAATTGAATCTTGACCATCTCAAACATAAACAAATGGGAGGTTTGCTTGATTAATACACCCAAAACTATTTTTTGTTATGATTTCAATGAAGTTGGTCTAATGAAAGGGAACAAGTTCAAATTCTTAGAAGGCTATTATCATAACCTTCTCTTTTTTCTGCTACAGTTGGTCTCCACCATGCATTGCTATGTGTTATAGGGAAAGCATTCTGGTTGATCTGTTTGTGCACTCTTTTTAAAACTTATTTTATGTCATTGGTTGAGTTTGGTAACTCTCTTGAGGAAGTTGCACGTTTGAAGGTATTATAGGTATATATATTTGGAACATTTTGTAGGAAAAGAAGAGGAGAACAAGAAGGTCATATACTTTAGTGTAAAATCCTAGTCTTTATTCTAATAGTGTGTCAAGTTCAAGCATATGTTTATAGCAACAGTGCTTTGTTTGGTTTTGGATGTTTGGATAAGCTAAATGTGTTCTTTTCAGCCTCAGTTGTTGAAAGTTAAATAAATCTGGGGTTTCTTACAATGACATTTTCCTCAGCATATCATGTTTCCAGCACTCTAGGAGCCAATTTGTCCTTTTCTTCCTATTTTGGATTGTTTTATAATTTACAATAATGTGGAAAAATGAAGTATTTTTTAGAATTAATTTCTTTGTTTACCTCTCTGGAAGTGCATAAAGTTTATTTTATTTATGGAATTATAGCAGGTTTGATATTAGTTTTGTTGGCATTAAAATGTCTTCCCCAAGCAAGAGGAGAGAGATGGATGTAATGAAGTTGTAAGTTTCTGACACATATTATTTACATATCCATGTTGGTTCCTTTTTATGCTTATCCATTTTGTCTCTTCTATGTCTTCCCTATTGTTATTGACAGTTTCTGATGTTGATTATGATCTTTGTGCACTTGTTATCTTTCTCTTCACTTTTATACAGGATGATGAGTGATTACAATGTGGAAACTATAAATGATGGACTCAATGAATTCAATGTGGAATTCCATGGTCCAAAAGAGAGTATGGCTGCCCTCATTCTACTATTTAGGATATATTTCCTAGTTCTCTAGGACTAAGGAGCTTTATTTGCATTTTTCAAATCTGCAAAGATGGATTTAAAGTTTCTTGCTTGACAATCCATCCAGGGTGCCTCCATTGTTTCTTCTTCTTCTTCTTTTTATCAAATTTTTATTTTCAATGGAAATCTTCCAAAACTTATTGGTTTTCTATCTTGTCTATTCTTTTGTTGGATCATTATTTTGATAATCCCTGTTTCTTCTATGTGTCTAATTATTGTTTTCTTTTCAATTAAATTCTTTTCATTTCCACCTTTAAAATCATAGTCACTTCATTGAACTGTGGTGCTTGTAGGCCTTTATGAAGGTGGCGTGTGGAAAATTCGTGTTGAGCTTCCTGATGCTTATCCATACAAGTCTCCTTCTATTGGATTTGTGAACAAGATATTCCACCCCAACGTTGATGAGCTGTAAGCAACTTTTGTTTTCAAAGTCAACTTCTCAAACGTGAAAGCTTCTACCATAGGAAGCTTTTACTTCCCTGAAATATTTACTGTCATAATTAGCCATTTGAAGATTGAAAGTTTGGGTTATTTTAGATGCTTGAAATGTACCAGCTTGCTATTTAGTTCTTAGTAATCTGTGCTTATGGTAAACTCTTCAGCTGCTCCCTTTTGGCCATACCTGTTCAAAATATGAATCCATTGCTGAAATTGCTATGTATGTCACTGTTGCAGGTCTGGTTCTGTATGTTTGGACGTTATTAACCAGTCATGGAGTCCAATGTTTGGTAAGGCATCAATTAACTAATTAACTAAACCATATTTTCTAAAAGCTCTGGATATCATTTACTTTTGTATATCAATACCAACATATAAACATTTTTTGGCCATTAAAATGTGTTCGTACTTTGTTTTGTGTGTGTTTCACTTGTTTCTCTGATGTACGAACAAGCAAACTCAACTTCTGAGACCTAAATATACATTTTCAAAATTTTCATGTTGCTGCAGATCTTTTAAATGTCTTTGAAGTCTTTCTTCCACAGCTTTTGCTCTACCCAAATCCTTCAGACCCTCTGAATGGTGATGCAGCATCATTGATGATGAAGGACCAAAAGCAATATGATCAGAAAGTTAAAGGTGCAGATTTTCAATCAATCCTCTCGTCTCTTCTCCTTGTTGTGGGTGTGATAGAGTGCTAAGAAAACTTGTTGGTTGGCCTATTTTCCTTGGGAAGATTAATGTGATTATTATCATTCTTCTTTTGGAGACAGAATACTGTGAGCGTTATGCAAAGAAAGAAAATATCATGAACTCCAAGGCTAAAGAGGAAAGTGAAGATGAGGATGTCACAGATGATGAAAGTGGATCAAGTGATGATGAAATTGCTGGACATGCTGACCCATAATGAACTTTAGGGGACTTTGCTTTCTACGAAATCAAAATCTAAGATAATAATTGCAATGAGAATCCCCATATTTCATCTTGATCACAGTAGGAAAGAAGAGAGAAGGAAATGATAAGTGAATTTAGTGATTTGAAAATACAAGGACTCACATTGAAAATGGATAACATAGGATAAGAATTAGATCACATATTCTATTTAATACAGTCTCTTGTTTAATAGTTATTTAATTTTCTGGCTAGCTTATATACTCATCTGATTTGATTCCACTGTGATGAGAACTCAAATTATTTGAACATTCTGCGAAGAATCTGCGTACTCTTATATCTTTTCTCTTCATTTTGTGTACTTGCAGTTGTTTTATCTTTTGCTGGAATGCGATCCCTTTGAAAACAGTGATTAGTTAAACAGACAGAATTAGTCATGCTGGCTGAAACATTTCATCCAAGCTGCAGTATGCTTTCTTTTGATCAGTATGAAGTTTAGATGAATTGACCATTCCTATGAACTATGAACTCCATTTGTACTTACAATTCTTTGACCATATAAGTACAGAGCATTTCAAAAATTATGTTGTGACCTCTCTATATGCATGTGCGTAGGTACTAGAGTTTGAACTGCAGTTGGTGCCATTTTGGCTCATCTCTTCAACCCATTATTAACAATCACAATGAGAATTGTAAATTCAGCCATGTGGCAGAGAAACAGTACAGCTCTTGTTATTATCTGCTTGTGTTCACAATTACTGATCAAGAAGATCTAGTTCATAAAGGAGAATGAAGCCAACCACAATCCCCATTTTTTCTGAAATCCTGCAAAAATGAACAGAATAATCATCAAGCTCTTCCCACTTTTGATCTTTTTGCTCTTCAGGGTGTTGAATTCTGAAGAAGAAAGAGTGAGGCAATCACTGGTGACATTCATGGACAAACTTTA